TACCATCGTTAATTATGCCAAACACCCTAGCACTTACTGTAGTGTGTGTGCGTGTAGCCTATCTACAGCCAACATCGTTAATTAACACCTGCAAAGCCTTATGTGCAGGTGCTTTTATAGAAACCAGAGAGAGAGGCAGTGCACAAATCCATGACACTTTAGAATGTTAAAGGAAACTCTTTATTTGCTTCAACTTCTTTGAAAAACACAAAAGATAATTTATTCAAAAGTATCTCTGCACACATATATTTTTCTCCTGTTCCTCAATATAAATTCTTAACAAAATTTAGATGAAAGCGTATTAATATGATCAGCTCCTGCTGTTTATTTCTCTCATGTAGTCATAATTCTCTGGGGTGCTACATCATAATTATCACCACAGTAACCGTTGCTGATGTCACAAAGGGATTATTCCTTTTGGTGGGAAAGAAGTAGTTTGACCAGATGAATCCATAGGAACCAAGATCCTGTTGTTATACAAATAATTAAAGGGTGGAAGGAAAACTAAGATAGGCATTTGAGCATAATTCTTTTAAAATCGATTTTTAAAATTTGTATTTTATACGGAGAATTTCTGAGAAGAAATATGAAAAAGGTGATGTTTAAACCACAAAAGTGGAAGATAGCATGTAGGTTATAAACTTTTAAATAATAAATTAGTATTTTGAAAATTTTATTTTGGATAAATTGAACCATTGCAGATTATGGGCCTCTTTTATATCCAACACCATGCTGCCTCTCCAATTTTCCTCCCTAGGCTTTTCAAAGATTTGAGCCTTCTAACTTCTCTTTTGAGAAAACTGGTGATGATAGAAATGATAAAAACAATGTATTTGCTGATGCTGCTATAAGGCTTTTCTATAAGCATGAATATTAAAAAGTTCCAGAATTGTGCTCCAGTCATACTATTACATAGGTTTTATAGCCAGTTTCTAATTGCTACTCGGCTCTTTTTACATTTTTTTCTTTCAAATTCTAATATCTATGTATGCATCTGATTTTCTCTCTTTCTCTGCCTCCCTCCTTAAATTGAACTGCTGTGGGGTTTTTTGGCTTCGTTTGGTTTGGTTTGGTTTGGTTTTCATATACATGCTGTATACCTTTGAAACTCAATTAACTGCCTTATTGAATGTACAGAAAAGTGACTCATCAGTGACCTGCTCCTGTATATTCTGGTTCAACCTCCTGTATAAATAGGTTCAACTTCACCCATCAGATTGCCTAAACTTTAAAAATCAAATAACACCCAAGTGGTGGTGACGGGTTGAGCAGCAGGAGCTCACACATTTTGGAAATGTACGCTGGTTTTAGAGTTATGGTATTAGTTCGTCGGAGAAGTCATGACGCATTTTTGCAACGAAAAACATAGAAAAATATGTCATGACTTTTCCGACAGCCCAATATTATCTAGAAAGTAGAATAAGTACATGAACCAACAATACTATCTATGAATTATAAATAATAGCCCAAACCTAGAAACAACCCAAGTAATAATCAGCAAAAGAACAAATTGTGATGTGTTCATACTATTAATATTATACAGCAAGGAAGCATATAACAGAGTAGATGAATTTTACAAACATAACATTGAATGTAAGAAGATAGGCATAAAAGAATAAGTACAACATGATTTCATTCAAATACAGTTCAAAAGCAAACAAAGCTAAACCATGTGGTGGTGGTTAAAACAAAGAAAAGCACGCACATACACACGCTCACATTCATCCTGAAAGTGAATGTAATTTACCAAAATCTAGCCAAAGGCCCCATTGATTTAGTAAATACTGAGTGCCTACTATGTAGTAGGCATTTGCTGCCCGCAAGGAGGGACAGCCTATTTGGGGAAACATACAACTAAACCTGAAATTAGGAGACACTAATGTGTTACAATATTTGTATTCAGTGGTACTTTTAGGTCTGTTCCTCAACCTTAGCTGATAACTTGTACCTGATAATAAAATACCAACTTGGTTACAAGTTTTACTGCTTCCTGCCTTTGGCTACTGAAGAGTAATAGAAGTACAGTATCTCTGTAGATTTAAAGCCCTCTTGGTCCAAGTGTGAAGAAAGATCATACTTGTGCTGGAAACGACTTTGTGTGGCAGGTCATCATCAAGGAATGTAGCACAGCTTCAACAGTTGGTGGGATGCACTTTCTCCAGTAGTTGGATACCTCATAATTATGGAAAATTAAGATATAAATTATGTTTCTAAAGGTTACAATTTAGGATGCTTCACAAGCTAGAAGTTACTTATTATGAGAAGAGTTAAAAGTTAGCCTACATTCAGGGATATGAAAGTTTTGGGTAAAGAACATTTTGGAAATTATTTTTAAGTGAACAATAATATCACTCATGTTAATATAACATAAATCTATAGAGCTACCTTTACTGTGGTAAACAATTTATATGAACTTGTGCAATGACAGATGCCCTAGTATGTATTTGCAAATAATTTGTAAGATGCCTTTAAAGACCTACTCTTTAGCTGGCTTTGTTAGAATAAAGGAACACAGCATTACCATTTATTCCTTTGCTTCTTTGCATCCTCAGATTCTTTATACTATTTTAATAAAATGATCTTTGACCTTCTTTCCCTAGTTGATTTGTCAAAAGGGGAGCGGGGAGAGGGAGGGAGGGAGAGCCGGGAGGGAGGGCATAAACATTCCTAGAGTAGTGGTTAATATTTTTTCAACTCACGTATTTATTATTATATAGCTTTGCTTTTCTTCTCAAATTTGGTAATAATGTAATTTCTAATATAGAGCTTGAATTTGTGTTCTACATCCAACTCTTGATAACACGCATGTGAAGAGCTATGCTGTAGACAAGCCAAACAAGGCAGGGAGAGAGGAAGGGAATGGGAGAGAGAAGCAAAGAAAGAGGAGAACAGTATGGCTCTAAAACAAACACAAATAGGTAATTTGCCTTCTCAGTTGAGTTATATTCTTATTTATTGCATGTTTTTTAATTTTATGAACAAATTTGTTGAATAAATTTGTATTAAAGTTTATTGAATTGAATATTCTGAATATTGAATAGCTGAGTATTGCTAGGAAGACAGCTTAGCTTTTAAAATTCTCTGCAAATAGGCTCCACATAGTTTGTAAGACTCAGTTTCCTAGTGAATGAAATTAAGGCTTAGTTAGCGCTTCTGTAAGATTTCTAAGACCAAAGCATACACAGTTTGTATTTTGAAAGCCCTTATTTGGTCAGCAATTAAAATCACGTACTATATGAGCTTCGCAATTTAGGGATGGGATACACTGTATACTCATATTATTGAAGGTCTGAACATTTAGATTTGTTATCCTAGTTTTCAGTTTTCTCTGACATCATCCACATACAAATTGCTCAACAATTTAGATAATTCACAGTTATGTTATTGGAAAATAAAACTTTGGAAATTAGATTTCTAAATGAGATATGACCAACATTCTTGGCTGACTCATCCAACCAGTACCCTGGCAATTAAGAATTTTCTGTGCTCTTATTAGCTGATTAGCATACAGTCCTGTTCTGCATCTGTGTAACAATACAATAAGCTAAGAGGATACGGTATAGAACTAAGTGGACAAAACTGTTTTCATCTTAGTATGGATTTTCTTAAAATTTATCAAAATTATGAATTAAGTATTTATGAGGCGTTGTTTGTGTATGTGTGTGCTCACCACAAGAAATGATATATTTCATTGTCTAAAATGATTCTGCAATCATTAAAAATATGACCTTAGTTTCAGTTCTTTTATTAGGAAAATGAAAATCTTCTATTTACTAACTTTATAGCTATAATTCCTTTATGAGCCATTTCTTTTGCTGATTCTTTATTCTCCTATAGCTGCACTGTCCAGTATGACAGCTACTAGCCAGATTTGACTGGGCACTTAAAATGTGGCTAGTCTGAACATGTAACTGTAAGTGTAAAATACACTTGGATTTCAAAGATTTATTACAAAGGAGAGAGTGTAAAATATTTCATTAATAATGTGTATATTGATTGCATGCCAGGATGATCATAGTTTAGATATATTGGCTTGAATAAAATATATTACTAAAAAATTAATTTTTCACCTGTTTGTTTTTACATTTTTATTGTGGCTACTAGTAAATTTAAATTGCGTACATGGCTCACATTTGTGGCTCTCATATTTCTATTGGGTAGCACTGTTCCAGAGTCTGTCATATTTTATAAAGGGAAATCAGATTTAGAAAGACAGATATTCTTTCTTTCATGTCTTTCCATTTCTACGTTTAAAAGTTAGAAAGTATTCTAAAGCTATTTATATGTTCCAGTAGTTCAATGATATCTGTTCTATGTAATGCAGATGTACATATAACAAAATGTATATTTGACTGTCATTTGACCATTGGTTCTAATGTTGTATACTGATGTATTCTAGAATGGAGAGAATAAGGAAAGTGAAACACAAACTACCAAGAATTGGAAAAGGGAGCATGCGTACGGACTATAGAAAATGCCATTAAAAAGACCCTAGTCCTGACATTTATAGGAATTATATGTATATTGTGGTCTAGAAGTACATTGTGCCATAGACAATTTTCTTTAATAATAGCTGACTTTGAAAAACACTGATTGAAAGACATATTTAGTGGCTTCCAAGCTGAGGGGGAAAAATTCCAACAGAATATTAGTTCCAATTTTTTTTCTCTTACACAGAATTGTCATTTGTGAATGAGGAGGCAAAAAATTTCATGTGACAGTCATAAACTCCTAAGACATAGTGAAGTTCTTTAAGCTTCCTATATGATGCCAATGCAAATAATCTTTTCTTCTCTTAAAAAGTGATTGTCTCTCTTCCCCATCCCATCCCCATTTCCATGTTTCTTTGTTTTGTTCTGTTTTTCCAAAAAGACATATTTAATGCCCTTAGGTTTATTTTCTACATACTAACTAAGGAATAGCACTGTTATGTTTTGTATTTGAAATTGTAAGGTACATTTCTTTTTCTTTTATTTTTAATTTAACTCTTTGTTTTACAGATGAGGGCAGAAGTGCAGTTGACCAAGCAGGTGGTGCACAGGTTGTAATTGACCGTTTAAGGTCACTGTGCAGTAGAACAGACCCCGCCAATGAGAAGCTCTTGACTGTCTTTTGTGGCATGCTGATGAACTATAGCAATGAGAATGGTAAACAAAATTGAAAACTTGCTTTATCTCTGGGGGAAGAATTTAAAAAATCATCATTCCTGTAGTACAAACCAAGCATATTTAGAAAAATTATGAACCAAGAATTCATAATTGGCATATAAAATTAATCATTAGCCAACATTCAATTGCAGTGTTTTAAACAATACAGAATGGTCAAATTGACTAAATGGGACTAGTTTTTGACATGTTAATACCAAAAAACAAACAACAAAGAAATAACATAACGTGTGGTTTAAGATTTCTTGCTGTGAACATTTTAAAAATAAACAGTATTAAAATAGCTTTATGTTTATTACTTTATATTAGTACTAGGAATATCTTTAAAACATAAACACTGTCTATGTAAGTAAAATGATTTTATCTAGATACTATTATTGGGTTGTCGGAAAAGTCATGACGCATTTTTGCAACAAAAAACATAGAAAAAAATGCGTCATGACTTTTCCGACAACACAATAGATTTACTTGTAAGAATAAAAAATCTTTTCATTAAACCTGGCCTTATAAAATTGAAGTTCAGAGCAATTGCAGATAACTGATTTTAGAAATTTAATAAATACTTACAAGCAGAAGTTTCTTTTCTCTGTAAAACATTCTTAGAATCTAGCAACAAATGCGATGTCCATAATTTTCATATAGCCTATATGGTTATTAATTGAATGAACATATAAACAGTGGTATGAAGGCTTCACTATACTTTTAAATGTCACAAAAAAAATTCATTTATTATTATTTGAATACTATGAATTACTTCATGGATCAAGAGTTCAGATTCTGGTAGGTTTTTAGAAATAAGGCCTTTTTGTGGTTTCTTTCATAATGGCATTTTCATTAGTAGTCTTTGACAGAGACATTTTGTTTGTATATTGAACATGTAATATTATTCTTTATTTTCATGTGTTCTAGAAATACAAGGCCCTTTAGGCATATTTTTCATTTTTTCACTTTTGGTAGTCATGGGTCCAAAGAAATATTCTCAATAATTAAAAAAGATAAACTTAGATGACAAATGACTATTGACATTTAACCTGGTGTTAGAGATACAATAGCAAATGGCAGGGACTGCAGCCCTTAGTTTGGTCAAATACTGGCAAATCTTTTCATCTGGGGATGAGGGGAAGCTGAAAATCTGGCTTTTCATGTGACATATGCATTTTAAATGTGGGATTACATTTCTTTTTTTAGCACTGTACAGGCTTAACAGAATGTTTCTTCAGGTCACATCTATTCAAGAGACACAAGTTTTAAATCTCTGAGTTAAAATTAGCCATAATAAAAATTGTTTAAGTTTTCATTCCTCAAACAACTTGCCTATTAAACTCAAGCTAATAATAATTGATAGTTTTTATAGGGTCAATTAACGTCTATTTTTTTTTTTGCCCTCCGATCATTTTGCCCTAGAATCATTTTGAAGAGAAAATGTCCTAAATATAAACGGGAGAAACAGAAATGACAGAGTCTGGGGTAGGCTACACAGTGAATAGCTAGCTCCTGAATAATTGAAATTTGACCATGAGACAGGTATCTGGATTGCATTAAGAAATCAGTGGCCAGTTTTTCATGTTGCTTCCTTTCTCCTCAACTTCATTCAGGCTTAGACACCTGAGAAAGTGGGACAAGTGCTAAGTGAGAAAATGGTTTAGAAAAAAAAAAAGAAAGAAAGAAACGAGTCATGAAGTTTTAGCAGCTTTGGATATAAAAGAATGTGTCTTGTTATGCATTTAAACTAGTTGTTTGTCCTTTGAGGAAGCTGTTGCTCAGAAATCTGCAAAAGCTTATCAAATGGTTTAAATGGTCTTCAAAAACATCCCTAATTCCTATCCAAAGGAGACGGTAATTGAGTCCCTGTAATAGAATATCACAATGTGCAGAGAAATGATGATAAAAACATGACTGTGCACAGTCCAAATGCATAATATTTTTTAAATTTAATTGTAAGAGTAGGTTTTTTTCCTGGTGTGCAAATATTCCCAAGAAATAACTTAGATATTTTGGAAAGCTATATTAGCTCTTCTCAGAACATTATTAGAGCAGCGGTGTTTTTGTTCCATAATTCTAAAAGCTGCAATTTGAAAACAGCTTTTAAAATTTATTAGATAAAATAGAAGTAAAGTTATCTTTAGTATTTTAAAGGAACATTTAAATGCCAAACGTATAACTCTTATTTCCTCGGCTTCCTTTTATATTTGTCTTTCATGGGGATCCTACTTTGTGAAATGATTCTCTTTCTCCATAATACTCTTTAACTTAAATTATATATTTTTTTGTTTTGCATAATAATTAAATATTTTTGTTTTGTGTGTTGATTATTGACTTACTCTTTAAAATATGTGTTTAATGACTTCCCAACTTAAATACTAAGTCTTCTTGGCTAACCTCAGATCATTTGGTATTGCTTCTGTCCACCTAGATGAATCACTGAGCCAGAAAAAAAAAATGGAGCTTTTGAAACTTAGGAGGCACTCTTTATTAGCATTGATAAATAAAGTTCCTTTATACCTGTATTTACTATTGAATTTCAGTATTCAAACCTCTGCTACTTTGTGAGTAGAATAGTTGAGTGATAAAAACCTCCTTGTTATGCTAGCAGAAAAATTAATTCTACCCTTGTAACTTGAGCTTATTTATAGGGAATTATTTTTAGTTCCATTGATAAATTTTATTAATTAAAAAAGCAAGTACTGAACATGGTCACAAAGACCCACCAACATGGTTTCTCTGACAAGAATGTTTTCAAATTGTTTATTAGTCCTGAAAGTGAATTCACACCAGAATGAAACTTAGGATATATTGATTTCTGTCCGTACAGTGGGCAACCCTGAGCATCAATTTTATATCCATTAAATAGGGCATAAAACAAGTTTCCTAAACACATGCAAGACAGATACATTATGAAAATACTTACTCAGTAAAGCTGTATAAAAATCAAGGTTCATGAGTTTTAAAACTTTTGGCCCAATTTAAGACTAGACACTTCTAAGCTATTAGTTGACTATATCTTTTTGTTTCTTTATTGGTAAAGCAATTAAAACTTTTGATACTCAGGTAAGTATGGAGTGTCTGAATAGAAAAAGTTATAATTGCTTAGCCAGAAAAGTTGTATCAATATTGTATAAATAAAATCATATTTAAATGGAATTAAAAAAATAAAACATTTGTTTAGTAAAAATCATTTCAAATTTATCTTTTTGGGGAAAATCAGACCTGTTTTTCACATGGCAAAAGACACTCTTCATTTCTGTGACCCTTCAAACTTGTCTTGAGTATTTGACAATTGTGGGTAGTGAAGAGCATGTTGATGATTTGACATCCGATTTGAAGAAATGTGCTGAACTTCCTATATTATCTTCATCTAGTTGCAATTTTAAATTTTTAGTTTTATAAACAAGAAACTCAAATCTATTATTATAGATATTTTTATCTCATTGGCTTCTTGGATGTCTTTTTTCCTAGCTTTGGTTACCCAAAGCCAAAACATTGCAGTGAAGACCGAAAATTCTGTTCAGATCGCCAGCTGTTTTCAAATATTAACACCATTTTAGCATATAGTAGGAGTTTGGAAAATATTTATTGGTTGACTTTTCTGGATACTTAGTATTGTCTAAAACTTTATTAACAAAAATCAAAACTTGGAAGAAAAATATGTCTTTAGAATGCATTTTCTTCATTAAATAAGTTAGAACATTATAAACTCTATATGAGTTGATATTCCCTATTCATATACATGGCAGCAGCTGAAAGTGGCATTGAAGTCATGCTGATAGTAATAGTACTGGATCTGTGGTTAAAAATTTACCATAGCTGATCCACAGACTTCATAATCTGCATATGTGTACTTGAAAGTTGGTTGCACTTTGAATAGAAACAAATCAGTAATCTAAAGCAGGAGTCGGCTGACTTTTGAGACGAAAGAGCCAATCCTGTCCCTCGAAGTTTTTGCGAGACCTATGAAACAAATGAAATCACCATCATGTGAATAATATCCTTTAAAAATTTTATAAATGAAACTATGATAGCTTTATTTTCATTTTCAATTTTACTTCAGAGCCACATGTACATACCCAAAGAGCCGCATGTGGCTCGCGAGCAGCAGTTTGCCGACCCCTGGTCTAAAGCAAAGCACCAGAATAACACCTTGTCAAGGAATATATTGACAGTCACTGTTTTTATTGTATTACAGCAGACCATGATTAATCAATAAGTATTCCTGGAAAACTCTGTAATTGAGAGTTCAGTCTTTTTCTTAATACACTTATGCTAGAGACACCAAATACAGGGAGAAGTCTGTTATAACTGTACAACACATTAATAATTACGATAAGCATTCAAGCAAAGACTATAGTTGTCTTGCACAAACTATGCCATAAGAGAAAAATAGAGGAAGTAAACCTTCCATTAGGAGGAAAAATTTGTTAGAAGGAAAAATTAGTTTTCTTCTAAAATGTGTAAGATAATATACACAGTCTATAACTGACTTCTTCATGTGACCCATATCAGATATATATGATATATATGTATATGTATAGATGAGATTTTTACACATAGAGCTGATTTTTCTCTAATATCTTAATAATTCCCTGTTACTGAACTTGTGTGTTTGTGTGTGGTCCTGAAATCTCTCTAGGAAACCTCCCTCATGATAATTCTCACATTTATTTGCTCCATGCACTTAAGATAACTAAACTATGGTTGAAAGGAGGCCATCTGTGCGATTTAGGAAACGCAGCTCATGGGATATGTTATCAGAGAATAAGGATTGAATTTAAGTATTAAGTCTGGTAATTAAATTCAGTTGTTCAAAATAGGCCTGTAAAGCATTTCTTCTCCTTTAATTTAAAGATCACTTAATATGTAATTAATTTTAGCTGCTACTTTCATTTCAAACAATCCCAACAATTTCACAATTCTAATCATACTGTTCATTTTTCTAGTGAATTCAGTCCAGTAACTGTGCTTACTTGTTTTTTCCTTTATATTTA